TGTGGAGTTGTGGGAATGCCAGGTACAGGGCATTGTGCTCTGTATTTGAGATCTTTCTGGGTCCTTTCTGAGTTGACGGATTTCTTACAGTCCTGGAGGTCGGTTGGTGAACTGACTGAAGCTCAGGAGAGTCTCTCACTTGCTCAGAGATACAAGTCTAGTAAATGGTGGACATAGGGCACCTGGATTTTTCTGACTCCAAAACATCTATTCCTTTTATTAATGCTTATTAAGATTTGACTTGTTCATGAATGTAGCTGGCCGTCAGGAGGGATTTGAGTTGGGCAGTAACAAAAGATTTGTTTGAACTGTAATTCTGTTGATGGTGTGGAATATTAGAGTGAAGGAGAGATTGGGGAAAGAGACCGTGCCTCAGATTACAAGGTTTGGGACTAGGAGATAGTACACACAGAGAAAGGAAGCTGTTTTACTGATATAATAGCTTACAGTTCTAGATTAAACATTGAGGATAAGTGAAAGAAACCGTGAACACATTTTCATTCCTTTGCATCTTTGCATATGCTCCTCTGACTCCAAGGCTTCTACCTTGAGCACCTGACTGGATAGAAACACTATTATTAAAATAGGGAAGAAGAACAGATTTGTTGAGAAGAAAATTCACTTTTGGTTCTGCTTATTTTGAGAAGCCTGGGGAAATTCAGATAGTTTGTGTTATAGACAGTTGGCAATAGGGATTCCAGGGACAGATTTGAACTAGGGACAAATTTTTAGGAATCAGTATATGTGGCTTGAAGTATATAGGCTCTGAACTCAGATCTAGGATTAAATCTGAGCTCAGAAACCAATGGTTTCTCTTTTTTTGCATTTTGGGTTTTTTTTTTTTTTTTTTTTTTTTTTTTTTTGTAAAATGGAATGTCTAACCTAGGATCTTTGTAAGGATTCAATGAATATTGTATGAATTTAGTAATGAATTTATTATTAGCTATAGTGATTGCAATACAGACTTCCTATGAAAAAACTCCATTATAACAAGAAGCATCTCTTTTCCTTTCATGGAATTCACTTAGACGCTACATGAAATGCATTTGAGCAACACACCTGTAAAGTATAGCTTTAGTGTTCCCAAATCAGCGTGGTGCATGGCCAGCAAGTATGCCTTTAGTACAAGGCCATGTGGCTTAGTCACTTTTCCACTGATGGATACAATACTCAACACCCACAACTTACAGAAGGTGAGGTTTATTTTGCCTCATAATTTTAGCCCATGGTTGGCTGGCTCAAAGAAAGAAATGGTACGGCTGTGGGTGTAACAGGGAGGGGAGCTGCTTACATCATGGTGGTGAGGAAGCAGAGAAAGAAGGGAGGAGCCAGGGACAGGAATACACCCTTCCAGGTCATGCCCCAGTGACTCACCTCCAACCAGGCTCCACCTTCTAACAGCACGTTCTTGCAGGGATGAATCCACTGATGAGTACAGCGTCCCCATGATCTAATTACCTTTCACAAACATGAGAATCTGGGGGACACTCTAGCTCTAAATTGAAACACTATGCCATGGGGTTTCCCAGTAGGCAGCATATTGCTAGGGCTGCAGCCCAATTTCCTCTTTTAAAAATGAACCCTTTGATAAATTTTCATTTTTATTAGTATATTTGTGGTAGTTACCACATTCATCATGGTGAGTTGGCATGTGTGCACAATGCATCTTAATTCTTCATAAGTCCTCTCTCCCCTTCATCCCTTGGTCCCCTTCCCATTTGCAAAGGATCTCCCTGTCTGCTAGTATCTTTTGTTTTGCTCTTTTATTTACATAAAATAAGCATTTTATGGAAAGCATTATCTTCTTTTTTATGTTGTTTCTATACAACTGAAAACATATCAACAATTTAACGTTTGTTCCTCTAAAGCAATTTGTCTGTGGCCCTTTCTAATCGCTCAGCCCCTATTCTGGCCCATAATTAGATCCTTATGTTATTGTGGATTTACTTATATATTGTAAAATGCAAAAACCAGGGTGGCTCAGCACTCAGTTGTAGGGTCTGTGTGACAGAGAGAAGCAGTGCTAGCAAATCTGGACCATGGTATGCAGATCCTATAGGAACTGTGTATATGAGATACTCTTTACTTGATGTTGGAGTTTGATGCTGTATTTTAAGAATGGATCTTAAAAAAGGGCTAAAGGTGTAGGGAAAGTGGGAAGGGTAGGGAAAAGGTAATAAGGGAAAGGAAAAATATGAGAAAATGAAAAAATGGAAATAAAGTGTTTGTAAATGGTGAGGGATGGAGCGGGTGAATGGAGGGCAGGGACAAGGGGAAATAATGAGAACCAAGACCTGTCATGTAAAGGTACAAGATCCCAGTAATGAATGTAACTGTACTGTATACCTAAAATGTACCCATAAACTCAATGAGGAAAAAAAAAGAATGGATCTTAAAGCAACACAATGAGAAAAATAAGTCTAGTCAGCAAAGTTAGACATTGCCGGTTTGTCTATAGATGACCACCAAATTAACCTGTCACAAAATATGCTGTTCATAAAAATAATACCAACTATGTAAAAATCAGGTTAAATAAGCTGTTACTGTTCTTGAAATGATTATATACTGATAGATCCTACGTATATCACTTCAATAGTTCCTTTGACTCCTATAGTGTGTTCTTCTTCATGTGACTTTGCTGCTTCTCTCATCAAGGAGAACCTTTATCTCCAGGTCCTGCATCTGTGCTGGCCTTTTGATCTGCTTTGACAATAGCATGTGGTAGACATGACGTGTAATTTCAGAGCTTAGGGCTTCAAGAGGTCTTGCAAGTTCCTCACTGGCTTGGCATGCTGCCACCACATAGGACGCCCAGGATTTCCTCCTGGAGGAGGAAAGGCTCCAAGGAGAGAGAACCAGTCAGCAGTCAACACCGGCTCCAGTCATAAACACACTCATTCAGGCCATTGGATGACTCCAGCAGCTGTGTGACTCCACACAGGGCCAGCCCAACCAAGCATAGATGTGATGGTTTTAAGCCACAAATTATGGGTGCTTTGTTAGGCATCAATTGTTTATATTTGCATATATGTATATATGATAGTTTTCTCTCATCTTGAGGATGAAGGAGAATACTTTAAATTTTAAAGTAGATTAGGGTTAATTATTAGGATATACTTCTAGGCTTATAAAGATCAAAAAGTGATGCTATAATGATACGTTAACCTAGGTTGCTGCATGAACAATGACATGGAAGCAGATTTTTTTTTTTCTGGGATTGTTTGTGTACAGTTTTAAGAGGTAAGGTGGTAATTCTAGATTGTGTCCAGAGTCCCTTTAAATTCTAGAGGCATACCAGGCTTGGTGGCACAGTCCTGTAACTCCAGGACTCTGAGAGGTTGACAGAGGGAAATTACAAGTTCAAGCTCAGCCTAGGCAACCTGGCAACTTAGTGAGACCTCTGTCTCAAAATAAAAAAGGGCTAAAGATTTAGCTTAGTGCTAAGGCCCTGGATTATGTCCTTAGTACCACAAAACAAACAACCTAGGTAGGGCCCTCTGAAATTTCAGTTCAATTCTTGTGATTTAGCAACTCTCTTTCTACATCATGTACCTAAACATACCTATTTATTTGATTATTTTGCAGCACTGGGGATTGAATCCAGGGCCTTCACACTGAGCTTCATCCCCAGTCCTTTTAAAATGTTTTGAGACAAGGACTTACTAAGTCACTATGTTACTCAGGTTAGGCTTGAAGTTGCCTCAGCATTCTCGAGAGCTGGGGTTACAGGTGTGCACTACACCTGGAAATACTTTCCATGACTGGCAGGATTCACTGATTTCATTTTTCATATACAATGCGATCCAAAACAATCATGGTATAGTGAAGTCAATACAGCACAATGGCCAAGTTCATGAGTTTCAGGGCCAAACTGCTTGGGTTCAGATGCTTACTCAACAGCCTATCATCAGCTGCAACCGTGATAAATGATGTAATCTCTTTGCCTCAGTTTCCCCACTCACAGAATGGATAGCACAGACCCCACTGTGTTGATAGGATAATGAGCTAATACTTGAATTTAAAACATATTAGCAACTCAATACACTCAGATACTAGTATTGTCTTTATGTTGCAGTTGGAAGTTTTCTAGATCTTGAACTCAGTTCTATTACTGACCTTGGGTACATATTACTCTCTCTGGTTTTGTTTTCTAAGTTATAAAATAAGGTTTACTAGATAACTTCCAGGATTTATTTTTATCATTTAAATTCTATGATTCAGTGTTTAATATTTTATCAAAATGTACTCTTTAATCTTATCTCAAAATTTAAAAAGACTAAAACTTATGTTAGCAAGCAATTCTGAAGGTGTTCTGAAATAAAAATATTTTACTCCTGCAGTGGTGTGTTGGCACAAGCCTGTAATGCTAGCATTTTGGGAGGATGATGCAGGAGGTTCAAGCCCAGCTCAGGTAACTTAGTGACTTAGGAAGACTGACTCTCAAACATGTACATAGTCTGGGGATGCAGCTCAGTGCTAAGGCCTTGGGTTCAATACTCAGGACGATGATTCATTTTTTTACAAAATGTGATTTTATTGGCTGCACAATAGACCCTATTATATAGAAGTGTTATATTTTATTGCATATTACTTTGTAATGTGTGTCATTTTATATTTCACTTTGATATTGGCTGATGGTACAGATAAATATGATTTTGTATGGCCGGTTTAGTGTGATCATTTTTCTATCCTTCTATTGATCCCGTCTGTAATCCAGCTGATACGAAGCCCAAAAAATGCTCTTTTCAACATTTTTGCCATAACAATCCTATCAACTTACAATCTTTCAGGTTTTGAAAATGGATTTCGGTCACTCTTTTCCCCCAAACACACCGAACACATGCACTAAAATATACTTTAGGAGCCCGCGAACCGACGGTTTAAGACAACTGCGAAGGTTTTCAGTATTTTTGGGTAACGGAAGATAAGACAGGCAAATGTGTTTTCTTTCCTCTCAAAATTTCCTGCCCGACAGTGGACACATATTTGCTTCCAGTCACCAAGTGCAAGAATTCCGTACTTTGAGTTAAGGAAAGGGGGGACAGCCACTCTTCGAGGAGAAGCGGCCCTGGGTTTGCACGTTTGACAGAGGAAGGCGAGCTTCGGGGATTTTCCAAGCAGGACGCGGGAGCCCGGAGAAGGGAAAGTGCGTACAGCCCACGTGATCCAACTTCACTTTCGGGTTCTACCACCGAGCCCGCTGGAATCAAACCGCTCCGCTGCCAATAAATTGTTTTCTTCCCAATCGTCGGATACAGAACCAGCATCCCCAAGTTCAAGGAGGCTCCGTTCCAAAAACTGATGGCTAGGAAAACACAAAAGTTCGACTCGTGCCGCTGATAAACGCGCTGACAGCCTTTCGGATCACTCCTCCTCAACGCCTCACTCTCGTCTGCCAAACCCTTCGCTGGTTTCCCCCGGGCATTTCCAGCGTCCCCGATTCGGTTCCGCGGACCGAAAGGTGAGAGCAACACTTTGGTCTCGGAGCAGTGCGCGTGCCGGCGCGGATGCGC